GACCCACACAATCGGGTCCACACCCTTGCAGAGGGAGAGGTCGCTCTCAAGCACAAACCTCACCAGGAAGTGATCTGACCATGACAGGGGAGTCAAACATAAATTCCTCACCCTCAGACCACCCTCTTCCTGCCCCGTCGAGAAAACCAGGTCCAGAGTGTGTCCACATTCATGGGTCGGGCTGGTGACAGGTTGATACAGCCCCATGGCCGTCATGGAGGCCATGAAGTCCTGAGCCGCCCCGGTCAGACCATTCTCAGCATGGAGATTGAAGTCCCCCAGGATGCATAACATCCTGGGGGTCCTCAACACCAGGTCCGAGACGATCTCCGTCAGCTCAGGCAGGGAGACTGTTGGGCAGAAGGGTGCACGATACACCAACAGAATCCCCAATCATATACACGTTTGTGCAACCTGTTCCTCCTCGAGGTGGTGGTGGGGGGGTGCACACAAACCAGAACTCTCTGCCTTCAGATCTCCACATGCAACACCCACTGAACATTATTGGAAGTACTTACCATGGCAATTGGCCCACTCTCTGGTTCGAATATAAAACTGTTCCAGGGCTTGAGTGGAAAGTTAGGAAGATTTGACATCTAGGTGCAGGTATGGTGGGCAGAAAGAACAGGGGACAGGGACATCGTAGAGGGCAATGCAGGTTATCTGCCTTTATACATTATTGAACTATCCTGGTAAACACGGGGTGCTCTATTCAGTGACTTTGTCAACAGAAGTGCAAGTCAGGAAACCCGAATTGACCTTCACTTGGTGTAAGTTGTGCAGGATAAGGTTGCTGTAGAATTTCCTTGCCTTGTCTAGGTTTCTTATAATAAATTTGACAAAACAAACGACCGAAAAACTAGTCTTGCATTCACAGAGTGATTTCATTTTTGTTCATTTTTCAGGAACAAATGATGCGAAAGAAACAAGCAATGCATCTTGATGCACGCTATGTCACAATGGTAGAAAATGCCTATTACCACTGCAACCCTCCTCCAGCAGAAAAGACTGTAAAAAAGAAACGTCCTCCTCTCCAGGAATATATTCGGAAACTCCTGTATAAGGATCTCTCCAAAGTCACTACTGAGAAGGTGCATCCCTTTCATTCTTGTTTTCTTGCTCAGAATATTACCCCTGTGAAGAACATTTATTCTAAAATAATTTTAAGGCAGTGGCCAGATTGCAGTGATACAGACTTCATTTCCATTTTTTTTTAAATGAGCATGACCTTCAGTAAAGGAAAGTGGAGTACATTACAATAATTACAGTGGTAGAGGCCAGGCATAAAACTTCCCCCAATACTGAGTTGAACATAAATAAATAACTATTTTCTAATTGTAAAATATTTGAGAAAACAGTACAACTTAGATTTTTCATGGATAAGTCAATGTTATCTTCTCTTACAAATATTTAAAAAGAGAATTCAGGAATTATTAGCTTGCAACATTTTGCAAGCCTACTGGTGTTCAACATAATGCATTGGTGGCCCATCAACAAATACAAGGTTTTGTTTTGTTTTTTGCTTGCTTAAAATTAACCATAAAGACAAATGAGCTCTCTTCCAGTTTTATATTTTGCCAGAGGACAGTGCTTTGCTGCTGCAGGGAAGTGGTTATTTAAAAGCCTGCAAGGACCACAGTTCTGCTTTTCTTGTTGTTTTGTGGGCCTTCATAGTTCCTTGCCATCATTGTTTAAAAGGCTTTTGAATTAAAATTTAGCTTTTAATTGCCTGTGGCCATGATCCAGCAAAGCAGAATGTGTGCTTGTGGGAGATTCTCAGGAGTTTCTTTGGAATACCCACAGCAGCCCATTTGTACAACTTAGAAAGGACGAGCTGTTTCTTTCAGTGACATTTTAAACTGCAAATCATTTTGCCTCTTTTAGTATTTTGTGGAAATGTGTAAGAAAACTTCCACTCTTCAGTATTTTCCTCTGTCAGCAGCTCAGATACAGTTTGTCACAATCTAAAGACTATTGACTTACACGAACAAGGTAAATTCTTAATGTGGAATATGAGGAATAGATGTACATTCTAATGATTTTTTCTTGTGGTTTTATACTGAGTAATTCTCTATTTCAAGATAAGTTGACTCTCTTCATAGTGCAAAGATAGACATTGGGTTCATTTCTCTGACTTTTAATGTTACTTGGATCATGAAGTCTCTAAACTGTTTTTGGAATTAAACTATTTTTGGAATAATACTTAAGAGTCAGCATACTTATGTGTAAAGCATCCAACTTTTTTTTCTTTTTGAGTGACTTTTTTTTAAAAATCTTGTTCAGGTCCTGAGACAGATGCGCAAATTGCCGTGGCATGACCCTGAAGTGAAAGACTATGTTATATGTTGTATGATCAACATTTGGAATGTGAAATATAATAGTATTCACTGTGTAGCCAACCTTTTAGCGGGGCTGGTACTTTATCAAGAGGATGTTGGAATTCATGTTGTGGATGGTGTTCTAGAGGATATTCGACTAGGAATGGAGGTAATATATTCTTAGGTTTTTATAAGCTTTTTTTAACTACCAAAAATGGAAATTTGAATTATATTTCTTTTAGTATTTTTACTACAGTACTCTGATAGTAAACTGCATCCATAAATTCTTCTGCAGAGGAGCCTGTTGATCTAGCTGCATTTTTCACATAAGTTGCAGTGTTTGCACATCATGCAAAAATCATGCATGCAAACTATGAATTGTACTTTAAAATAAACTCCAGAGTTCAATTGTTTATCAATTAACTACTGATTTCAAGCAAGCAATTATGATTCCTTGTTTGCATATAACAAGCCAAGATTTACTACCAAACTCTAGTTTATTCCAAAGGGGAGCAGCTTCAGTCCCATTTGCATAGACTCCTGTCCACACGTACATTTAGTGCTAAATCCTAGTTTGGCATTATGTATAAACACATGGAATAAAGGGTGCAGAAAAATAACTGTTCTGTCACAGCATATTGTGCTGTTGTCCCTGAGATAATCTTTATTTTGACCTTTAAATCTCTAATTTGTTGAAAGACCATGTATGTGAGGTACTGAGGGCTGAAGAGGCCAGGATCTAAATTCTCTGTTTTCTTTTGTCAAGTCTTTTGCACTAGCTTATGCATGTCTATCATTAATTGTCCATAGTGTAGGCAATCTCACTACTGTTCTCCTTTTCTCTGCTTGAAATAATAGTATTGTTTATCACTTCTGAATCCTCCACAATTATTGGAGTACTGTTCATACATTAAAAGTTAAGATAATCCCTGCTTGCAGCCATAGTAGATTATGATGCCACTGATGGGAGTGTTGTTCTCTTTTCAAGCCTAAGAAGTCTGTTTTAACTTTGCATTGACATTCTGTTCACTTGAAGGTTAATCAGCCAAAATTCAACCAACGGAGGATTAGCAGTGCCA